AATTAGAATAAAACACACTATCAAAATCGAATGAAAATGTAGAAAAAATTAGAACGGACCTTCAGCGACTGTGCCACCAAATATTCGAAACCAAATAAATACGACACATTAATCAAGCTTTAATGACTACAATAAATCCAATATAATAAAGGGGTATGTAAAAACTATTTAAATGCAAAAATACATAACACATAATTTTTTTTACAAAAAATTTTGTTAACAATAAATTAAATTAATTCGAGTATTACGTTACCAATAATAACTTATAAGAATTTTCCTAATTGTTTATGAGCGATTAGCGAACTTTAAGCCAAGTAAACATTACTTCAAAACTTCTACATAATGCGGGCGCATTAAGATTGCTGCGTCTTGGCGCCTGATGGAATTGGCGGTGGCGGCACATCAGGCACAGCGCTGTTCTTGTTCTTCGACGCATTCTTTATGCTATCGAAATCGACAGCAGGCGGCAACTGTGGCGGATCTTCAGGCTGGGGCTGTGGTTCACTCGCCGCTATTTCTTCGTCCGAAGCTGGCGGTGGCGGTTGGTTTGGTGGTGGTGGTAACGATGCTGGTGTCGGTGCCGGTACACTGGCCTCTGCCGTTGGTGGTGTCGGCACTAATGGCTTGGGGGCGGCTGGTGGACCGCCGCCTAATGCAAAATGTTGATGGTGACTGGGGAAATATTCGTAGGGTGGTAGATATTGCTCACGATAACCGGTGATGGGATCATAGATAAGCGGATACTGATTGAAAGCGTACGGTGGCAATGCCACTGGTCCATTCGGGCTGCGATTTGGATACTGTTGCAAGGGTATAAGCGATGGTGGTAGACCAAATTCGTTTAAAGGAATTGGTAGTTTTTCATGAGGCGCCTGTTTGGGAGGAATCGGCTCAAGTGGTGGCATGTAAGTAGGATTTTTTGGAGGTGGTGGCAAAGTAGGCGGCTGAACCGGTTGTTGCTCTTCAGTTGGTGGTGGCGCGGTGGGTGGTGTGCTTTCCACTGGGGAGCCATCTTGCGGAGGGGGCTGCTGCGCAGCCGCATTGGGTGTCGGCACAAGCTGCGGTCCACTATTTGGGGG